GTGGCCTCGGGAAACCAAAGCTCTGCAGCTTTCCTTCTCCTCTCTCCCTCCTCCCGGGGGTTCCCAGGTTGGGGGAAGCAGCCGGAGTCACCAGGACCCCAGCAAAGGGACCAAAATCTGTTGGGACCAAATTCCAGCTCCAGTGGGGGTGGGGAAAGGGCTGAGGGTGAGGGATGCTGGTCCCCAGGGCTGGGGGGAGGGATGGGCTGGCAGCCCCCACCCCATGCCTCCCTGGCTCATGCCGTTGCTTCTCCCAGCTCCTCGGTGCCCGGTTTGTTCCCCTTCGGTCTTTGCTCCCGTCGCTCCTCGAAACAGGGAAACGTTCACAAGTTAAAACCTTCAAATCTTTCTTTCTCCTCGGGATTCAGAGCGGCTGCTCTGGACAGACCTGGAAGCGGCTCCTGCTGCTTCTGCCTCGGGCTCTGGCTGCCTCATTCCGTGTCCCCCCTGGGGTTCCCATGTCCCCCCCGTTCCCCCCTGGGGTTCCCTGTCCCCCCTGTCCCTCCCCGGGCCTCTGCTTCCCATGTCCCCCCCGTTCCCCCCTGGGGTTTCCTGTCCCCCCTGTCCCTCCCCGGGGCTCTGCTGCCCCGGTAAAGGCTTTGCCCAGAAGCTGCTGCTCCTGCTCCAGGGCTGGAGATGGCCCAGGCTCCCCCCTGCTCCGTGCTGGGGGGGACTGCAACACCGAGACCTCACGTCCCCCCCCACCAGCTCCAGCTTTTTGTCTCTGGGCCAGGGTCTGGGGCTTCCCCTGAGCCCCCCGTGCTGGGGCAACCTCTTCCCCTCAGCAGTGGTCGCTCCCCAAGTTCACTCAGAATCTTCCTGCTTTTCCTCTTGCTGCTTGTGGGGCTTTTGGGACCCTCCTGAGCCCTCCACCTCCTGGGTAGATGGGCTGGGGGGGGCTGGCAGGGTCAGCCCCCATCCTCATGCGGGTTCTGAGCCACGTTTGAAGGATCCTCCCCCTCTTGCCACCGCGTTGGGGACCATCCTGGGTGACTGTCCCCTCCAGCAGCTCGGTCTCCAGTGGCAGAGCCCGGGGTTCAGCACCCTGAGCCACCCTGCACCTCTCTCTGGTCCCCAGCAGTGGTGGCTTCTGGGGTCACCACTGACCTGGGGTGACATCATGGACCAAAAATCTCAAAGCACATCCCTGTCCCCTTCCCTCTGGGGCTCGGAAGGTCCCGGAGCTGGACGGGGGCAGGTCTAACTGGAAGCCCATGTAGGGAGGACAGGAATGGGATGCTCTGAGGAGCAGAGTGGTGATGCCTCCAGCATCCCCCCTGTCCCCGTGCCTGGTCACAGCCCCGGCTCAGCCCGGACCATGGACCCCGGGCAGCTGGAGGGGACAGTCCTGATGTTGGGCTGCTCCCACACCACGGGGCTGAGATGCTCCCGAGGGGAAGCTGCTGCCATCACCATTCCCAAGGGAAAAGAGAATCTAGGGACCAAAGCGGCCGAGTTGAGACATTCCTTGGCTCTCCTCTGAGGAGCAGAGTGGTGATGCCTCCAGCGTTTCCCCTGTCCCCGTGCTTGGTCACAGCCCTGGCTCGACCCGGACCATGGACCCCGGGCAGCTGGAGGGGACAGTCCTGATGTTGGGCTGCTCCCACACCACGGGGCTGAGATGCTCCCGAGGGGAAGCTGCTGCCATCACCATTCCCAAGGGAAAAGAGAATCTAGGGACCAAAGCGGCCGAGTTGAGACATTCCTTGGCTCTCCTGGGAGACACATCCCTGGGGACACATCCTGGGAGACACATCCTTGGGGACAGTCACGCAGAGGGGGAGAAGGTCCCCTCGCAGTCCCCTTCCTCAAAGCACACGGGGCTGCAGGGCTGGTTGGTGTCCATTCCTGGGGTTGGGGGTGGCCAAAATTGGGGAAAAACACTGTTCTGGCAGAGAGGGGGGGTCCTGGCAGGGCAGAGACACCCCCCAAGAAGGATGCGAGCTGGGGAGAGGGGAGTGTTTTGCTCCTGGAAGGGAATGAGGGGGGA